AAGCAACATGTTTGTAGTCTTTAACTTTAGCGACTTTAGTCTATGACTAGTTATTTTGTCTGTCATTTCAGCTTACAGTCTACTTAAAGGATTCCCAAATTCTGAATGAGTTGAGTGTCAAGTTTTGACAGGGACTGTTGAGATGAAAACTACACTTGGTTGAGACTTTAATTAAAAACTTGCTGATGACAATTTTAGCGTGTTTACTAAATAAGCTAATACATTTCCACGGCAACCAGAAATGAAGCTGACACTTTTAAGTCGAGATGGCTTTTGTCAGTGTTGGATGGCCCCTTTAAGATGATATGGAAAGTTGCCCAATTCCATGCGGAAATCTCATGCATTCTAATCCAGGCTGATGTTTTTTCATGAGTTATTTTCCCAGCTACCTGCAGTGCTGATACCAGTCTTACTCAATCAATGACCTCACATGACCCAGACATGCAAAATATGAAACTTTGATCATCACATAGCAATTTTCCCACCATCAACACATGAGTAATACGAGTGTTAACATCTACCAGTCGGCCATGGCTTATGGCCATATGGGGAGCCGGGCTATATCCACTATAATAATATCATCGGTTCAGTCAGATAACTAGATTATGGAGTTTCCTGGAAATAGCAAAATGTTTTTCATTGAATCTTTTACCTCAGGATATAAATTATTCAAAGAACAAGCATCAAAGATGATACCTCTCTTGCCTCTTTGGTACACTTTGTTTGGTAGGACTGTTGTCAAAACAACTCGGAACCTGCCTCTTGGAAAAATTAATTGAGTTTCTAGATGAGTGATTTCTAATGGGATTCGTAATGTTTTAATGAAACACGAATATTGCCATGGCAGTATTCTCCAACTTTTGTGACTGCCTTTACGACTATTTACTTCCTATGCTGAAGTACTTGATCATCAGGACCTCTTTCTTACAGTGGCAGGTTTTACGTTTCAAATCATCATCATCTGAAGAGCAAATGTAATTACTCTCAAGAATAAATGTGTGGAAATAGATAGAGACCATCCTGGAAGCTGACAGTTCCGAAGCTTTTTACTTGAATAAAACAAGAATGTTAAACACTGTTCCACTTGAGATCACGTTCCACTTTTTTAAGTTTAACTTTTTTAAGTTTAACGTAAGTGGGGAGTCCAGGTAAGAATAGATCCCCAGGACCCCAAGCTTGATGTAGTGGGGAGTCCAGGACAGAACAGCTCCCCAGGACCCCAAGCTTGTCGTAGTGGGGAGTCCAGGACAGAAAGGCTCCCCAGGACCCCAAGCTTGTTGTAGTGGGGTGTCCAGGACAGAACGGCTCCCCAGGACCCCAAGCTTGTCGTAGTAGGGAGTCCAGGACAGAAAGGCTCCCCAGGACCCCAAGCTTGTTGTAGTGGGGAGTCCAGGACAGAACGGCTCCCCAGGACCCCAAGCTTGTCGTAGTGGGGAGTCAAGGACAGAACGGCTCCCCAGGACCCCAAGCTTGTTGTAGTGGGGAGTCCAGGACAGAAAGGCTCCCCAGGACCCCAAGCTTGTTGTAGTGGGGTGTCCAGGACAGAACGGCTCCCCAGGACCCCAAGCTTGTTGTAGTGGGGAGTCAAGGACAGAACGGCTCCCCAGGACCCCAAGCTTGTTGTAGTGGGGAGTCCAGGACATAACGGCTCCCCAGGACCCCAAGCTTGTTGTAGTGGGGTGTCCAGGACAGAACGGCTCCCCAGGACCCCAAGCTTGTTGTAGTGGGGTGTCCAGGACAGAACGGCTCCCCAGGACCCCAAGCTTGTTGTAGTGGGGTGTCCAGGACAGAACGGCTCCCCAGGACCCCAAGCTTGTTGTAGTGGGGAGTCCAGGACAGAACAGCTCCCCAGGACCCCAAGCTTGTTGTAGTGGGGTGTCCAGGACAGAACGGCTCCCCAAGCTTGTCGTAGTGGGGAGTCCAGGACAGAACAGCTCCCCAAGCTTGTCGTAGTGGGGAGTCCAGGACAGAACGGCTCCCCAGGACCCCAAGCTTGTTGTAGTGGGGAGTCCAGGACAGAACAGCTCCCCAGGACCCCAAGCTTGTTGTAGTGGGGTGTCCAGGACAGAACGGCTCCCCAAGCTTGTCGTAGTGGGGAGTCCAGGACAGAACGGCTCCCCAGGACCCCAAGCTTGTTGTAGTGGGGTGTCCAGGACAGAACGGCTCCCCAAGCTTGTCGTAGTGGGGAGTCAAGGACAGAACGGCTCCCCAGGACTCCAAGCTTGTTGTAGTGGGGTGTCCAGGACAGAACGGCTCCCCAGGACCCCAAGCTTGTTGTAGTGGGGAGTCCAGGACAGAAAGGCTCCCCAGGACCCCAAGCTTGTTGTAGTGGGGTGTCCAGGACAGAACGGCTCCCCAGGACCCCAAGCTTGTTGTAGTGGGGTGTCCAGGACAGAACGGCTCCCCAGGACCCCAAGCTTGTTGTAGTGGGGTGTCCAGGACAGAACGGCTCCCCAAGCTTGTTGTAGTGGGGTGTCCAGGACAGAACGGCTCCCCAGGACCCCAAGCTTGTTGTAGTGGGGAGTCCAGGACAGAAAGGCTCCCCAGGACCCCAAGCTTGTTGTAGTGGGGTGTCCAGGACAGAACGGCTCCCCAGGACCCCAAGCTTGTTGTAGTGGGGAGTCCAGGACAGAAAGGCTCCCCAGGACCCCAAGCTTGTTGTAGTGGGGTGTCCAGGACAGAACGGCTCCCCAGGACCCCAAGCTTGTTGTAGTGGGGAGTCCAGGACAGAACAGCTCCCCAAGCTTGTCGTAGTGGGGAGTCCAGGACAGAAAGGCTCCCCAGGACCCCAAGCTTGTTGTAGTGGGGAGTCCAGGACAGAACAGCTCCCCAGGACCCCAAGCTTGTCGTAGTGGGGAGTCAAGGACAGAACAGCTCCCCAGGACCCCAAGCTTGTTGTAGTGGGGAGTCCAGGACAGAACGGCTCCCCAGGACCCCAAGCTTGTTGTAGTGGGGTGTCCAGGACAGAACGGCTCCCCAGGACCCCAAGCTTGTTGTAGTGGGGTGTCCAGGACAGAACGGCTCCCCAGGACCCCAAGCTTGTTGTAGTGGGGTGTCCAGGACAGAACGGCTCCCCAGGACCCCAAGCTTGTTGTAGTGGGGAGTCCAGGACATAACGGCTCCCCAGGACCCCAAGCTTGTTGTAGTGGGGTGTCCAGGACAGAACGGCTCCCCAGGACCCCAAGCTTGTTGTAGTGGGGAGTCCAGGACAGAACGATACAATACACGGATTTACAACGCCTGTATCATGATACACACATTAAATTACATTATATTACAAGTTATACTGGTGTAAAAACTCGTGAATAATAACAGAAACTGTGCAACAACCAAACTCTCTAGTATTTCCCAGGTGGCTATAAACAGCATAACATTCACAGTGCCCTGTAGCCAATATGTTTCTGCCCTGCAATATCCCATCTTCGATCTTTGAAATTTAATAACAAATGATTCAGGTTGGTGGTTCACCTGCAAAAAGAAAGAATATCAAGTTATGAAATAAAAGTAGCGCAACCCCACCATGTCATTACACCTGTGGGTGTTGGGAGTCAGGCCGGAACAGATCCCCGGTATTGCATGCTTGTTGTAAGGGCAGACTCAAGCTGAGATTGGGGGGTCGCAATTCATGGGCTGGCTGATTCTGTCTCATGTCCCAAAGAGGTGTTGTCATGTCCCAAAGAGATGTTGTCATGTCCCAAAGAGGTGTTGTCATGTCCCAAAGAGGTGTTGTCATGTCCCAAAGAGGTGTCATTGCTCTGCTGTCAACCACTGGTTTGTCTGAATATTTAATAGTGGTTGTGCGATTACAATCAATACTTGAGGTTTTTTCTGCTGTGCTGATTAAGGTGGGTACTGCGGTCCTTGGGAACTGGTGCTACAGTATTTGATCTCCAAAATATTAAAAATGTAACGTAAAGGTCATGACAAGGACCCCCATTCATGCTAAATTTTGAACATAGCAGTGAAATCAAAACAGGCTGCAGTGATAAGGCTGTAATTTTAGTTGTTTGTTATCCAACATAAAACACTCACTCCCTCACTCCATATAATCTAAACAGTGATGTGAAATGCCATTCACTCCTCGTTTGTTGGTACAACATAAAGGGAGTTAATCAATAACAATGTAATTTCCCACCCGATACTCTTGCCGTCCCCACTTCATATTTTGGTTTCACACATTGGAGAGCTGCCAAGAACAATTGCCCTGATATATAGGGGCTTGCCCTGATATATAGGGGCTTGCCCTGATCCAGGGGCTTGCCCATGAGTTTAGGATCAATTAAATCAATCGCTGCCGTCTTCAAAATCATTTTCCAAACACTGATGGTCTATTACAGTATACAGGTTTTTAAGTTGGTAAAAGTACTTGATGATCAGTCTGACTGACCACTTGTAATAATTTTCTTGAAAGCCCTTATCTGTTCCTTGAGAAGCTTAGTGGTAAATCTCTAGTGTCTGATGTGCAGTGCATTGAACTGGGGAGGGAAGCCACTGAGGTATTGATTGAGGGAGGAAGAATGGCTGTAAGAAGTTTAGATTGTACCCTTATTGACACAATGACAGATAGTGCATGATCCTTGCCTTGCTGCAGTTCAAGTCGCCATGTTTTACTCAGGGTTTTACTGGCAATTTCAGACTTTAATGTTGATGTTACAGGTTGAAAGAGAGGTTGTAAAAAGAGTCATTTGGGACGTGTTACGTGTTATCCTTCATCCTGCATTGTTGCGGGTCTTTGATCATTTAAGCATGTGCTTGAGCAAGCTTAATATTAGACAGGGTTCTATAAAGCTGAAAGGGATAGGCTTTTCAGTGGCAAGGATGGTAGAAAATACATGAGATGAATTAATTATTTTTTGAGATTCAGATTTTAAGTAAATACTATCAAGAATGGATTGGAATATTTTTTAGGTTTGTTAAACATCTTTACACTCTGTTGACTGTCTTTTTGTTGATATTGAAGCAATAAATGAAATTTTTATATGAATTTTTTGTGTTTGCAGATTGGCGACATGTTTTAGAGGGGGACTGCCAAGAGATATTTAATCAAAGCTCCTGAGAACAAGGACAGTGGATTAAGTCAACATATCAACAACATCATGCACGTCATACGGAATCTGCAACATGGCGGCTGTGTTTGTCTTCTGCTTCTCGTCATATATGCATACTACGCAGTTCTCAGCGGAAATGATGACAGCGGATTCGACCCGTTTGAAAAATATGGCTATTTTCTGACCTGGATCTTGTTTGCTCCGAGGATATTCCTGTACTTCCCACTGGTATTTGCTGGATTCAACTTCCTCGGGATCATCTGCTATCACACATTTCCAGAAAAACCACAACTCCAAAGATCTCCACTTCTAGGACCGTTTTTCTGTTTCCGTGTTGTGACGCGCGGATTATTCCCAGAGCTCGTGCGGGAGAATGTGGAACGCAACCTCCAAGTCTGCACCAGTGTGGGGCTGCAGAACTTTATGTTTGAAGTAGTGACGGATATTCCTGTAAACCTACCCAAGAATCCCCGCACAAGAGAGCTAGTTGTTCCTCACAACTACACAACAAGGAATGGAACATTGTTCAAAGCTCGAGCCCTCCAGTACAGCCTAGAGCCTGGTGTGGACATCCTCAGTGATGATGATTGGATTGTGCATCTCGATGAGGAAACAATCCTCACAGAAAGCTCCGTCATTGGTACCATCAACTTTGTATCAGAAGGCAAGCATTCATTTGGACAAGGTGTGATCACGTACAGTAAGGATAAGATTGTGAACTGGGTGACCACGCTAGCCGATAGTGTTCGTGTAGGAGTTGATTATGGAGCACTACGCTTCTCTCTGCGTACTCTCAACAAACCGTTCTTCAGCTGGAAGGGGTCATTCATCATCGCCAACGCCGCAGCAGAGAAACACATTTCATTCGACCATGGACCTGAGTCTTCAATTGCCGAGGACTGCTTCTTTGCGATGATGGCCTTCAAGGAGGGCTACAGTTTCGGCTTTGTGGAGGGGGAAATGTGGGAGCGAAGCACCTTCACGTTGATGGACTACATCCGTCAACGCCGCCGCTGGATTCAGGGGATCTACCTCACTGCCAGTAGTCGAAAGATTCCCTACAAGTACAAGATGGGCGTGATCCTCATGAGTGCGTCTGGCCTCTCTCTCCCCTTCACAACAATGGGCTTCTTCTTCGGCTTCATCTGGCCCCTGCCGGCCTGGAATGGCATTCATCTCATCCTGTGCTCTTTCCTTGGAACTATCCTCTTTCTGTTCATGTTCGGCACAATGAAATCCTTCAGTATTCGAAGGACGGGAGCTTTACAGTGTGTGTTATTGGTGATAGCCTCTTTGTTTTGTGCTATCATCTCTAGTGTCCTAGAAAATGTGGCCGCCATCATGGCTTGGCTACCCCACAAACAGCCTGAGTTTCAGATAGTTAAGAAAGACATTCGACTTCAAACTATTGTCTGATTCTAACCATCTTTAGGATTTTTTCATTACAATCAAAGGGAGGTAACTGCCTCCTTGCATAATGCAACAGGGCTACCAAGATTGCACTCTGGTGTGAAAGTTGAATGATGATTCTACAGTGAATGCTCAATGCTTTAGCACACAATTTTAATTGTACATTCTATGTGTTTGAATTTTACCAATTTCCATTCCAAAAACCATGTTCCATTGTGCAAGAATTTAGCTGGCCAATCAACTAACCAGAGGTGTCCAATGTGTAACTTAAGACATTGCCAACCACTCCCAAGGAATACTCAACCAGATTTCAGTGCATGGTGATAGGTTTGGAAATGAGCTCGAGTTATGTATTACAACTGTATTAAAGAAGCCTCTCGTTCTCCAAATACTGGACTGATTTTGCTTTGCCTGGGAAAGCTTCTGTTCACACATTGACTATGTTTTATATTTTGGCAGCTGATAATTATGTTGCTCGAACAAGGATACTTTTGTTCTCTGTCAGAAACCTAGAATCTCATGTGACCACAGTCAGCTGATCCAGAGTGCTGAGCTGTGGTGTAACACACAGAACCACAAGCTCCAGGACGAATGTGGAGGACCGTCATCTAGTCCATGCAAACACTCATGACTTTTCTCATGACCATATCAGCTGTTGTTTTAACATCCTAGACAAAGATTTACCCATTATGTAACAGGAACAGGAGAGGACATTACATCGAAGGTATACCTCAGCACTGCAAGAGCTCCAAACCACATTAGTACAATGTGTGAAACCTATTTCTGGTGTCCCCCGTCGTGATGTTGCTGGAAAATTGCTTAAAGCGGCATAAAACCATACTCACTCACTCCAAGCACTGCCCTGGTGTGGGCATTGGACTGTTCAGTTTCAATGTATCAGCTGTGAAGAAGGCAGATACTCCAACAATGGATTGATAAATTCATATCTTTCTTCCAGATTAGTTGCAGTCAGTTTTACTTAAGTGAAAAAACAATTTCTTTTCTTTTATGGGTACCTCTGAAGACCAGAGCATCTCCTATGTGGTAAAAAACTTATTTATTTACTCCTTCGGTATAAGAATGGTGAGAGATTTGAAGGAGGAGGGACTGGGTGGGGAAGGAAATGCACACTTTCATGGTCTGAGTTTGTTTGGCATGTGCTTACATGACTTGTGATTTTAGATTTTATGAACTTTTGTCCTTTTACTTGAAATTTACAGTCAAAGGGAGATAACTCATATTGATTTTGAGATCCCTATTGGTATTTTATTCCAGTTATGGAAGTTTGAGAGTTTTAGATGAGGTACTTTATATTTTATGATATTTGTGATCAAGTTTATACAACAGTGTTAGGTAAGCGTTTGATATCTCACAGAGGGCACTGATGACTATGGACATAGTTGAACATTATTCATATTTGCCTACATGCCCTGAACATGACACAAACCATTAAACAGTTGTCTTCCATACTGACACTTATGAAAGATAAAACATTATTCACAAGGTTATAATGCTACAGTTCTGTTAAAACAATCTAAGTTTCTGTAGCAATGGACTTGATGTGATATTGAGTAATTCTTACAAGGCATTTGTTTTAGTTTGTGATCTTGATTTTAGTGAATACACAAGCCCTACCATGTTTTTAATATTTGCATATTAATTTCATCAAGATTGTGATCATTATTAAAAGTCCTCCTGTTCTGGTAGACATAGTGCTTTGTGTATGTATGTTCTGAATGGAGACAAATACTTATAGAAAGAGGGGAATTGTTGAATAAAAAACAATTGTGCATACACTTCAATGAGTTATAAGTTAATTAAGTAGAATAGTTACATGGTTGATTTGCTTCTCAAAACTTTCTTGGTTTCAACTTGATTTTGTTGTTATCTGATGACAGTACATACCGTAAGAAACAGCTTTAGTCAACAGCTGACTGGTAGCAAGACGTCAAATTAATTACTTGTATCCGTAATTGCTGCCTCATCTGTGTTCTTTTTATTTTGGTGGTGATTTAATTATCAAAGTTTAAATGTCCTGTATAACAATTGACTTGCCCTTTGAACCTTGGTGTCTATCTACATGTCATTAACTTGTTGTGGACAGTGCCAAGTTTGCATCAATGCAAAGGAAAACTGTTTTCTTTTCTTTTTGGAGGTAGCTCATAATTTATTCACAAAAAACATCTGAGGCAGTAATTGATTTGTTATACCATAGAGGATTTGAGAAAATACTGGCACCCATCTCCTCATACAGGTGAACTGAAGATAAGAAACCAAATATTTCCAGGAGGTGCATTGATAATGTTAATTACGGTACATGTCATTCGTGATGTCTACAAATACTCATGGACAAGAACATCTTGCCATTTCCGTAGGAAGGAGTTTAAGATACTTCCAAGTTGATTGTCCTTCCAGGGGAATCTTATAGTCATTTACATGGGTTATGAGCTGTTTACAAGCATGTGATGAGAGTGATGTGTGACTGTGCAGCCTAGAGTGTTGGCCGGGCAGACCATTGAAGCTTACAGGGACGGCCACCCTCTCCTATGCAACATGACAGGTGCCCTGAGGCGGGTGTGCAGTGGGTCTTGATACCATCAACAAATACATGATTGAAATAGTGTTCCACCTGTTTGGTCACAGTGCTGTTTGAATCTCTGTTAAGTCTTGTACCACTTCTGTGTAAAGTTTTAACTAATCAGACAAACTACCAAAATCTTGTCTGTGACTTTCTTGTCTGAAGCACTATTTGAGTAAAATATCTTTTTTGGTCTGTAATAAGAGTGCATATGTTAGGGTTATTGTCAACTGAAAGAAGTTCGAAAAGACAAGATTTGTATTCCATTTTGGACTGCAAAAAACAACTGAAAATAAATTAATCATTGAATTTGTCAAATATATTTTCAATTTTAAAGCTAAAGCAGTTCGAATTTGGGAAACAAAATACCTGTAAGTGGTATGAAACCTTTGAGATCTTGATTGCCTAGTAAGGGTGGACAAGGTATCATCCCTAGCCTGGTGGAGCAGTTTTTTTCTGGTGGGGTCACTCTGCCCTGGGTGTGGTGCAGATTTGAGGAGGGTCAGTCTGCCCTGGGGGTGAAGCAGTGATTTGAGGAAGGTCAGTCTGCCCTGGGGGTGAAGCAGTGATTTGAGGGGGGTTCAGTCTGCCCTGGGAGTGAAATAGTAATACGAGGGGGTCAGTCTGCCCTGGGGGTGAAGCAGTGATTTGAGGGGGGTTCAGTCTGCCCTGGGGGTGAAGCAGTGATTTGAGGGGGGTTCAGTCTGCCCTGGGGGTGAAGCAGTGATTTGAGGAGGGTCAGTCTGCCCTGGGGGTGAAGCAGTGATTTGAGGGGGGTTCAGTCTGCCCTGGGGGTGAAGCAGTGATTTGAGGAGGGTCAGTCTGCCCAGGGGGTGAAGCAGTGATTTGAGGAGGGTCCGCCTGCCATGGGGGTGGAGCAGCAAGTTGAAGGGGTCAGCCTGTCCCTGGGTGGAGGTCTGCCTAACGCCTAGGTCTGCCATGCGATGAGACAGTATTTATTCACCACTACAATGTACATCATTTCACAACATGTTTTAACAAATTATCTGCAAATGTCAAATCAGATTTTAGTCTCTACAATAATTGAAACTTAAGGTATGAGATGAACTAGCTTCATGAGGCTTTTTGCTTCAATCGTGATTAATATAAAGTATTAATTCCTAGATGATAAAATTTGATTTATTTTATATGGTTCAACCAATGCTTTAATGAAAAGAATGTAACTAACGAAAACAAACTTCCATGTTTGATGCTATTCTCATTCATATTCTGCACCTGGTCCAGAAGTTGTGTGGACATTTTTGTCTTATTTATTGCTACCTAAATCATGTAGTTTGTATGCTTGGGTACATTTTGAATTCTATTTTATTTTGTATGTTTTGTATATTATTTTGTCACAGTCCATATCAGTTACTTGGAGTAAAGTAAATGGCTTTTGATCATTGTCTTTACCTCAGCCCTCATCATTGTTGCCCATTCCCTTATTTAATGTAACCAAGGTGACGTTGCCATGGTAACATATCAAAGCTTTTCAGTGCTCTTTACTTTTATGTATTTACCATTTTTAGGTTTTGAAAGTAGAGTAGTTCTTGAAAGATTGATTTTATTATTTCCAAATATACCAAAAATTAGAGATCTTTTGCACCAAAATTTGACGCCTGTCTATTTAAGTGCCAAATATGTCAAAGTTATGAGAACCATACATTCAGTCAACAATGGCTTACCAAGTCAGCAGATGCACATGTGGTAGATATTTCTCAGTTTGTATGAAACATCAGAGTTTAAGGGACCATCTATGCAGAAACCGCTATCTTTCAGTAGACAACCGGTACTTGTTACTGTAATAGAGCAAAGTGCTATAGCCTAAGAGTATGTTACAGTTTGATAGAAGGAGCATGTAGTTCTCCAACTCTGCAGTTGAGTAACTGAGAATTGTCTCCCTTGAGGGAAAAAGAAGGTTCCTTTCGTGCTTTTTGCTGAGATCTGGTAAAGATTTAAGTTAAAGGCGGTTTGATAATGTACTAGTCTGTAATTTGATAAACATTTACTTGTTAAAATAAGATGGCACTTTATTTATATTTATCTGTAGTAATGTAAAATTAAGAGTAAGTTCTTAAAAGTACCGTATTCAACCCTTGAAAGCCACAGAAACAGGTTCATTGTAATTATATCTTGCCATTTGGACAAGATTTGCTATTGTACTTTACCTTTCAACCTGACATTCAGCATGAAACAAATAACGTTTGATGTCATTACAAGCAAGAACACATACGGTACTTGCCTTTAAGATGTGTGACAACCAGCATGAGTGCTGATTTGATGGAACCAGAGACCATATAATAGATATTATATGGTCTCTGATGGAACGAAGAGGTATATTTGAAGCGCTTATAAGGAATGTGGTACTTATTGGGATGAATACGGTATTAGGTGTTGGCATGCTTCATATTGTGGAAATGAAATGTGTTCGGTGTTAAGATGATGGAAATGTTTTGTACGCACCCATCACTGCGCTTGTTTTACACGTCATGCAGGGGGACAAGACCATGCCTGTGTGGGACTCAAATACAAACCTCAGTCTGTTGTACAGGCTCCTCATCGCTTTATCATAATTATGTTAAATTTGATGTTGCAAAATATGCTTGATCATTTTTTGTACTGACAAACATTGTTCAGCTATGCTAAGCTTTCATCAGATGTTTCAATGAATAAAAGTAAATGTTACATTTTACATGCATTTAATAAATTTGACGGTCCTGATGTTGAGGCATGTAATGTTTTGTGTTCATGATTTGGCATTCATGCTATTGTTTAAAACATGATACACACCGATGCTAGAAAACATACACAATCTCCGAATTCAGGAACATGAAGAATCTATGAATTCTAGATAATGAATTAAACTAAGTTTCATGTCTTCCTTGTCATTTACTTAACTAATAAAGTATTATTTAAACAACATGTCAGAACAATAAAATTATTTCTTTTCAGAAGTTGGTAGTTGAAAATGTATTGTTGATTATAACCGTGGTAATAGGCCATAAACGATCTGTTGGGAAATGCCCGATACATACGAAAGTAAAAGCTAGCCTTGCTTGACACCACCTTAATGTTCATCTTCCTTACCACTGTAACCATGGTAACAGTGGAGAAACAGCACATGCTGGATTTCCCAGATTGTCCAATGGGTGAATTGCTTACCATGTCTGAAGCAGGGTGGCTATCGATATAAATCTTAGAGATCGATCATCGTTAACTAATCGATTATCCATAAATATCATAGAAGTAACTTTGAGCAAATATGCAAAATGCTCAGAGACAAAACAACAAAGTTCATGTCGCTGGTGAGTGGTGACACATTTAGGCACGGACTACTTTCAGGCATTTGAGATATAACAAAATCAGTTGCTTTCTGTGTTCGGCAATGGTAAAAAACAAGTCTGCTTTATTTCATCACAAAAGGTTGTGTAAGATATTATCGATGACACAATTTTCATATTGATAATAGTTAATATTTCTTCCCATCGACGATAATTCCAATTATGGATCTTTATAGCTGGCCTTTGTCGGAAGTGTCTCTAAGATCAAGGCTGTCACGAAATCAAGTAGAGTATCGTGGTTCCTTGTCAAGTTTCAACTTTTTGAGATGTGCTTTTCTCAGTTACAGTATCACATAATCATTAGCATTTTTTTCATTATTTACTTTCATTCTGTTTCAGTATGTAAGTAAACCTGTCAAGCAAAGGTCTGTAACAATGGCAGTCTACTTTTATGAAGAAACAGGCAAAGCCTATATATTTTCCTTGTTTTAGGGAAAAGTAAGGTCAGCACAAAGTATGAACTAGAGTGTGGTGTCAAAAGTATCACCATAAGAACACACATTTTCATTTCAACAGCTTCTTCGAAACAAGTAGATTCCTGATCCATAAGAATTGTTGAAATTATATCCTGAAATCGCCTGTAAGAAAATTTTTAAAATGATTCTTCAAAATGTACCACCTGTTAACCCAATCACATGTTTCCATTTCATTCTTGGCCTTTCCGGTTTGGCTTGTCGGTCGTAACAAACAAATCTGTAATACAATAAATAAAAAAACGTATAAAATAATTGCTGATTTTTGTCAAACTTTGACAGTGCCTCTAACACAGATGCTGCGATGTTAATCACTGACGATTTGAGTGCTGCATGCAGTGTTGTCACAGACTGGTGTGACAAGCTATTTGTTTCCTTCAGGTCAAGCAGACTGCTTTCTGAGTCAGCTGTGTACCTTCAGGTCACATGACTTGTTTATGTATCAGTCAATCGTGTACCTTCAGGTCAAGATGACCTATATATGTAACAGTCAACTGTGTTCCGTCAGGTCAAGATGACATATATGTAACAGTCAACTGTGTACCTTCAGGTCAACAGGATTTGTTTATGCAAAGGTCAACTGTATCTTCAGGTCACGATGACCTATATATCAAACAGCCAACTGTACCTTCTGGTCAAGATGACTTTTTGTGTAACAGTCAACTGTGTACTTTCAGGTCAAGATGACCTATATATGGACAAATCAGCTGTTTACCTTCAGGTCAAGATGACCTGTACAGGTAACAGTCAACTGTCCACCTTCAGGTAAAATTACATGTTTATGTATCAGTAAATCGTGTACCTTCAGGTCAAGATGACTTGTTTATGTAAAGGTCAACTATGTACCCTCTGATGACCTATATATGGACAAAGAACCTGGGTACCTTCGGGTCATGATGACATATATATGGACAAATCAGCTGTGTACCTTCAGATCAAGATGACTTTTTGTGTAACAGTCAACCATGTACGTCCGGGTTAAGATGATCTATATATGTAACAGTCAACTGTGTACCTTCAGGTCAAATGGCTTGTTTGTGTAACAGTGAATCTTCTGGTGAAGATGACTTATTTATTTGTGTTTGGTCATGTGAATATGTTCTGTAGGGGCTTTTTTATTACATAATAAATTTTAAAAGATATCATGTGGTCTGTTTTCTTTTCTTTTTCTGTTGCTGGAACACCATAATTCCTGTAATGTTTGAATCTGCACCTGCAGACACTGTGATCTGAGATTCCAGCCAGTGTTGGCAAGTTGTCAGCTTGCCAAATGTCTGTACATACTAAGGGTTACATTGTCCCCCACTTGTTTTCACTGCAAAGGCAGATACCACATAAAGGTGAATAGAAAAAACATATAGGAAGAAGGTTACATTGTGCACAAGAACAGAATCAGTCAAAGCACTTGTAGCATAGTTATGACGTTAAGACACACACTCATCCCTAATTCAGTGACCCATGCTTGCCGAAACAGGCGACTAAACTTGTAAGAGGCGACTAGGGATGGGGTGGTCATGCTAGCTAACTTTGTCATCGTATCCCAATTGCTTGCATCGATGCTCATGATGACAATCACTGGATTGTCTGATCCAGACTCGATGATTTACAGACCCCGTCAATTAGCTGGAATGTTGCTGAGTGCGGCGTTAAAAAACAAACAAACAAACTAATTAGGTTTGATAATATTGATGAGTTGTATTTGACGGGCAAGTGGACCTACCATAGACAATGTATACACATGGTAATGTTTATTTGGCAATAATAATTTCACAGTGTACATACATGTATATTCCCACCAGATTTGCACATTATCCGAACCAAACCAGACGAAGCAGCGTTATGAAACCACATGAAGCGTACTAAAATATCTGTCAGCATGATAAGGCGACAATTCCGTTTGACTATTCATGGCTAAGTCCACCATACAATAGCATTAAATAGGGCGCACATTGAAGAACTTCTTGGACATTATTATACCCACTAGTTTCCTGCCTCTTAACTAAACCGAAATATACTACTCAAAAGAAGTTAAGGTTCACCTGATTCTTTCATATTACAATCGTCAATCTCTCATGCCATGACAGATTAACATTACCAATATGAAAGAATCGGATGATCCTTAACTTCTTTTGAGTAGTATATATTGATAGTTATGAACCGGATCACAGAAGACCTGTTTCTGCCTGTGTCTGGTTATCAAGTGGAGGACAAACCAGTGAAACTGACGACCGATTGATTTACCTCGGTATCTGCTCAGCTTTCATAACATCCCCGTTACACTGTCACCTGGGCACCTTTGTCACCGTTGTCATATAGACATGACAGAAAAAGATATCCTGTATTTGTTTGTGCTTCTCATATGGCTCCCCTTTACCCTAGAATAAAATACGGCTAATTATTCCGTCGGCGGACAATGCTTCTAATTTTGGTCACTTAAAGCTTGGTAAATGAGGCTCTCAGCATTTCGCCCATTTCGCTCATAAGTTATCTCAATTAATGTCCAAGTCAGTGCCCCCGCATCAACCGCACACGAGCGTTACAACATAAGAAATTACTGAGCTAGAACTGTACATGTATGGTCTTAATATTCACGCACCTGAACTAATAATTGTCTAAACTATATACACTCAAGATAAAACATTAAACGATCATATCTGGGTGACTTAAAATTTAGGATTTTAAAGCTTTATGTCACATCTTCAATACTTCAGCGGGGCGATGGGGTAGTCTCGTGGTTAAAACGTTCGCTCGTCACGCCAAAGAACCGGGTTCGATTTCCCACATGGGTACAATGTGTGAAGCCCATATTTGGTGTCCCTCGCCGTGATATTGCAGGAATATTGCCAAAATTGGCGCAAAACCATACTCACTCACACAATCAATCAATCAATCAATCAATCAATACTTCAGTCATATACTCTTAGTAGTGACGACCAACTGGCGAAGTGACATAACGTGAAAGCCCCTACTTATCCAACAACCTCCGACATGTGTAAAGCACTTCCTGTCATCCAAGTCGAGGTACGGGCAGAGACATCATCACAGGAAGTAGAATGCATAGTCTGTATCCGTCACTGACTATGGAGGACGAATATGTTGATCGAGATCCAACACGCTGAACTTGAAAGTTATGGCGGTATTCCGGCGAGACTGTGTCCGCCGTTCCGATATTAGACGAGTGTGTAAAAAGAATTCTGCCGAGATCACACGATTATTACGCCTCAGTCGATTCATTGAGTTAACCGAGTTAGCGACGGTTCGACGTATTTAAACTGACTACTGTGTGGTGAGGTGAGGTGAGCTGAGGTGAGGTGAAATTTGGTTTGACGTCTCGTCCAAGATAATTGCATTTGTACTAGTCCGGACGATGCCGATTAATAGTGCTAGCTCAACATGAATACCCTACTCAGAAACAGTATACTGACCCCGAGCCGACCAGTCCATGTTTTATACCCTTAATGCTGAGCGCCAGACAGGGTGACAACAAGTTCCTTAATATACATGTACGTCTTCCATTCGTGTCTTTTGGTATAACGCGACCGGGGATCTGACCCCGGACCTTCCACTCTCCAGGCGGACGCTCGACCACTAGACCACGGAGGCGGTCACTGACTACTATGTATTATTGACAAGCAATTTGATATTGTATAACATCGTTCCCTATACCTCTGGTATTAACAGCTATTGAGTATTTACCGATATAGGAACACATGAGATCAGGCTTCCAGACGACCTCAGCTGACACCACAACTGCCTTTCTACGGTGACTGGGGTATCAGTTGGTGTGAATATCACCTGTAACTCATTTTTACACTTCACCATGAACGCGGAAGGTTATATTTTCCTCATTAAATCTCTAACTATCAAAATACATCTCTATATCTACGGACCACAGTCCTCACGGGGGAAGTCTTACAACAGTCAAAGACTTAGTAAAGCCTCAGAAAGGTTTATGGTGGAGTCAGTGAGTGATATGGTTTTACGCCGCTTTTAGCAATAGTCCAGCAACACCACGGCGGGGGACACCAGAAATGGCTTCACACATTGTATCCATGTGAGGAATCGAACCCGGGTCTTCGGCGTGACGAGCGAACGCTTTAACCATTAGGCTACCCCACCGCCCTTTTATGGTGGAAATGAGGAGGACATTTCAAAATTTGACGCATCAGTGACAAACATGATGTTTGGAATCAGAATCATTTCGCTGTCCACGTATTTTTTCTTTTCACATGAACTAGCAATTGATTAAGTATATATACTATGAAGGTACGTTTTTCATTCAATTCAAAAAGGTATAATTATGTTCATATGTCATAAAACGCCAATAAACCCAGACCTTCTCACTCGTTTTTTTGTTTAATATTCTCAAAATTAACATTATATTATAACAATTGCTTTAAGCGTATGAAAGGGTCCTGTCCTTCACACTCGTTTGTAGACAATTTCCATGAACGTTGTGCGTTTTATTTATCGGGTTTTGATTGTACGAAATGCTTAGTCACTTGACAGTGTTGTCTTACAATTACATCTTGATAATGAATGTAACATTACTGTCAATGAGAAAAGTACTGTTCTGCTGTAGTGAGTAAGTGAGTTGGGTTTAACGCCGCTTTTAACAGTATTCCAGTTATATCGCGGCGTGTCAGCTCAATGTGGGAGGAAAGCCCAATGTGATGCAGGTCTCAGACGTTTACCACTTCGGTGAAACACACGAGCACGGGTATGGTGCTGACAAACCTAGAAACATAATCGGGGCGAACCGGTTCTGCTGTGGTTGTGACATTATGTCAGTATATTGTAGGATTATCTCATCATCATATTGATTCTGAATGAATTCTCGCCAAACTTACCAGTGCTGTTAGCTGTTAAATGTATATGTACGTCCTACTGCCCCCATTCGTGTCGTCTGGAAATAACGCGCAAAAAAAACTCGTGCAACGGCAGTGAACCCCGATTGGTTAAACTCGTAACCATGACATCACGTGACAATACTGGCGAACACCTGCATGCAATAAACAACGCCTTAAACCAGATTTGACACGTGCTTATTCAAATGGTCTAAAACGACGAAGCTGTGGCGGTGGAGTAGACTTATTGTTAAAACGTTGGCTCTGCAAACCGAAGGCCCGGGTTCGTTTCCCTTGTCTTGTCTTGTCTTGTGTAAACGAACATTTTAATTTTTAAAGTAATAATTCTGTTTAACTGATTTAATAAATAATCTTGGGCATTAAATATTAGTTAGCAGAGAATGCGTATTTGAATAACTTTAATCAAAATTGTCAGTTGGCCGTAATATCTCCAAATCATTAATTCATTTTTTTATTTTACTTTTTCTTGAAAAATATTACTTTTAAGTTACAAATAATAGAATTTAAATAGGCTGACAGATTCTGTATAATGCATACTATACGCCTTGAATTTTTAAAAAGAAAAACAGATTTTTTTTCAGTGACTAATGAAACAAGTGCAGGAATGAAACTACAGACAAAATGGAGCTCATATAAACGAATGTGATATGTAAGGACAACACTCTGAGAATAAGAAACCACCACAATTTTCAGCTGATGTTAGATTTTGATCGCGATGACCACGTTTTGGTAGCACAAAACAACACCCCTTTTAAGTATGGAGCTGCAGTGTTTAGACGACAACTTCAATATTTCTGGATACAAATGTCACTTTGTGTCTCTAGATGACACCCATAGTTCAAAGGTTCAGTCCCAAGTAAACCCTCTACATGCCCGGATGACGGCCTCCTTCCTGTGTCTCATCCCTGCAGCCATACGTCGGATCTGCTGAAGGGGCAACTGCCCCCACGACAAAGAAAGATGCTTTTTTAGAGGATGTGTCAGTGCCTGTATACAGCCAAGGATTCAAATGTACTCCAGCGGATTCAGATCTGGAATCATGGCGGGACATGACATTACAGCTTTTAATGGAGTATTGGCTGCCATGTTTGTCATCCATAAACTGAGGTCTTGTAGCGAGCGGTGGTTGTCGAAATGGGGCCAACAACTGGTTCCAGGACATCTCGGCTGTTCTGGTTACGAGTGAGATTGCCTGTTTGCAATAGTGTGAGATGCACCCCCAAATCAATACCTAGCCTCGCCCATAAGGTTTAGTGTTCCTGGGTGTATAGGCC